CTTTTTTTTTTTTTTTTTTTTGATGCAAAAAAGGTGATTTTATTAAAGCACAGGGACAGGACCCATGGGCGGGAAGACCTCTCTACTGCAAGTGTGGAGGTGACCCTTTTATAGAGTCTGGGAAAGATAAAGTCAAGAGGAAGTTTCCAAAGAGACTTTCACATGCTAAAGACTTACTGGAAGCCTAGCTATTGTCAAGCTAAAGTTGTTTATCTCTTTAGCAAAGCATTATCATTAAGACCGGAGGGAGTTCCTGGACTTTTGGCCATTGATGGGATTGCCTTTTTGTTGTAAACTGGTAGAGACTATTTGTTTTTTGTCCTTTCCTGTTTTGGGATAGCTGGGAGTGTCCAAGGACTATCATACATGTCCTACCTGCGGGGGTGGGGGGTTGCTGTTAGCCTGTACTTTACCCCCAGCTTACCCCATGCTCCCCACTGAAAAATTTTGACCCTTAAATCTTTAAGGTTGTTGAAAGTGGAAGGTCTCATCTTCTGTAGCTTCTTCCTGCTGAGTAGGGGTGTAGAAATGTCCCTACCTATAAGGGTCAATATTGTTCAGTTGGGGAAGGTATAGGGGAGTTACAAAAGACAGAGGCAGCTGAATCCAAGGTGGACAATGTGTATGAACCTTCCTGAGTAGAAAGGATCATCTGTTGGCTTGAAGTTATTGCAGTGATGGAATCTTAGCACCAGGCAGAGAGACATGGCAGAAAACAGCAAAACATGATTAGAATAACTAGAAAGATTAGCCCAAATAAAAGTCCTTTGGTAGTTGACAAAAATCCTCCAGTCCAGAAATTTAACCAATCATTAAAGGAAAGAGAGGGATTGTTTCCAGCACCAATTCAAGTATTCATGTCAGTTAGAAATCCGGAAATATTTTTGTGGTCATCTGGAATGTATACACAGCATTTTGTTTTTATGAGAGTACAAGTTTCACCTTGTGCAGACATCTAATACTATTCTATTTGGTAGAACTGCTCTATGCATAATGTTATTGAGAGTCATTGAAGGCTTTAACTGTGTAACAGGTCGTGTTTAACCATCATATAGACTCTGTTTTGTTTAGTAAGCAATTAGTCAATCAATAAAAGGTACTTTTATAGAAACAAGAAAAATACAGGTTAATGGTTAGAGCAAATTACAAACCCAGTGTTTACCAGTGCTACCAGTGAGATTTTTAGATGTCAGGCTTGAAGCATCCTCCAATGGGAGTGGGAACAGGCAGCAGGAATCAGATGGGTTTTTCTGATTTGTAATTCAGATGTCTCTTGTGATCCTTTTGAATGGCCCATTTTAAGAAGGAATTGTTAGTATAAATTGGGGAAAGGAGAATGAAAAAGAAAGGTACAACCATCCTAAGAGAAGTTTGAGCAAAAGTTTGAGGTCTTCCATGGGTTTACAAGAACAAGAAGGCACATTAGTTTGCTCATTGGTTTTCTGAAGGAGGTACGGGTTTTATTTTAGATATAGGAGCCCGTAAAGAGTGCCCCTCTAATTTTACTTCAGTGGGAGTATATGATATGACCCCGTAGGGGACCTTTTATTTTGGAGTTAAATTCCCTACTGTATTGGACTTTCAATTTACCAGGTCTCCTGGGTTTATATGGATGGGGTGGGTTTCTAGTAAATGTCAGATCAGGTTTAGGGAGACTATGGTTTGCATATCCACTTAAGAGATTTATGAATTAACCTGGATAATTCAAGTGAATAACTTAATAAAGTGAATAATTTAATAAAGGACTATAGTCTTTATCTATTGATAGGTCTACAGGGAGAAAAGTCTTTTCATACAATCTTTGGGGAATCCATCCCATTTTCCAGTTGTTTGGATAATCATATGCCCCTGGGGTTTTGTTATTATCACCACAGAATAACAAGCAAGAAGATTGTCCATACCTGTGGTATTATGACAATTTTTCTGAAGTTTACCTCAAGTTGTCTAGTTTAGGCAAACAACATTTAAGACGATCAGAACTAGAATTTAACATTCGTAAAGGTGTGTTATTGAAACCTGTTATTGAAACCTCTAAAAACCCTCATTTCCAAAGACAGCCAAATGGAAACCAATTTGTTTGTAGAACAAGTCCAGTTTTAACAAACTTGGCCTACTTATTTACAGAAGTTCAGCAAGAACAGTTATTGATCATATATATCTTTTAAATTTTACTTTGCTGGAACTTTTTAGAAGGAATCTCCAGATTGAACTTTTTAGTAGCCTCTCCAGGCCAGAAGCCAAGCCAAGTACTTGCTGTCAGACATGCCTGCAACACCTGTAGATTTGGGCGAATTCCTCTTCACAAGGTGCCGAAGATATCCCGAGGTTCCTGCACCTGCCAGGAAGTGACATTCTTTACTCACCTGGTTAGGCTGCTGGGAACTTAGCCAAGGAGCTTTATGGCTCCATGTGTCATAAAGTCAACCTTAGTTCCTTTTAACTGTATGGTCATAACTGAGTCTATGCATGTCTCTCAAATATGACATTCCAGTTAAAGCCTTGGTAAAATTACCAATATTTCCAATGGTGTCTGGTTCCAAGGAGAACAGATTCTCATTGAACTTATGTAGCAGTGAGACATACACATGGAGATGGGACACCAAGGCTTTTCTTTACAGGAAGCAGTTTTATTTGTGCCAGCACAGGCTCAGCGGGCTAAGACCCAAAAGGCTGAGCCCTGAGCACCGTGGCGGGCAGGAGAGGGTCGCCTTTTGTACAATTTTTGCTCCTTTGTCTCCCGCATATGGTAACCTACAGTCTGAATGGGCGGTCTATGTTACAGAGTCGTGAGGAATGTTGCGCACGTGCACATAGCCAGGTTGCCTTCTCTTGTCTTGAGGTTTTCACCACATTCCTTAGGGAGGGGCTCTACCACACTTAGGCAAACAAGTATGATGGCCACGGAAGAAAGAATGCTGACTGAGAACTTTTGAATTTGAGAGGGTTTAGGTAGAGAGAAAAGTTAAATACTTTGTACACAAATAAATACTTTATGACATTTCTGTATAGCACAGATATCTTGAGAAAGTTTCCTTAATCTGGAAGAGCAAATGTTAGAGAACCAGCAATACTTCAAAACAAGAGCTGCAAAACGATAACCATCTTTTTCAGTTCATTTAGTCCCATGTTACTAATTCTTGTTCTGTTTCAATGCAACTTTTTAGTTCTGAAAATTCTTACCCATCTTAATATTAATCTTAAAGATGTCAAATGCCTGTATGTGTCCTAAAAGTTCTTTGTATAAGTCTCCTTGAAGATGAAACATGTTTTCTTATATGCTTCCAGAACAAATAACTATAAATGACAAAATCTCAGAAACGGACATTGGTAACAATCTAATATGAGAGTTCATTAAGATGCAATTGACAGGGGCGCCTGGGTGGCTCAGTTGGTTGAACGTCCGACTTCAGCTCGGGTCATGATCTCGCTGTCTCTGAGTTCGAGCCCGGAGCCTGTTTCGGATTCTGTGTCTCCCTCTCTCTCTGACCCTTCCCCGTTCATGCTCTGTCTCTCTCTGTCTCAAAAAAATAAATAAACGTTAAAAAAAATTTTTTTTAATTAAAAAAAAGATGCAATTGACAAGGAAATTCGGTTATTTTTGTGACACATAACACTTCAATAATCGGCATAGCCAAGTGCCGACCTTATTACCAAAACATATTAAAACATCAGGATTTGCATTTATATTGGAGCATTTACCCATGCATTTACCCATGCACTTACCCATGCAACACAACCTAAGGTTTACCATGAATGACAGTGTCTTCCAAGTAACTTCACATACCAAAAAAAGGCCTAACTGGTCAAAAAGACTTCATTTACAATTTAAATCTTGGGAAGTTTGTTAAAACCTTAGAAAGTTACAGAGCACAACCTAAACAGGATTACTGCTCATTACAAATTTTATTTATTCATTTAACCAAGGTGGCACTGAGAGATTCCAAAGGCAAATATATAGGGTTATATAGTTGTTAGCAGAACTTAGCTCCTTTCACATTGAGAAGTTTTAACTTGAAGTAATCAAAGACTTGATAAAGAGGAAACCCAAAGCTTTGGTTTTCTCCGGCAGACCAGAGAGAAAAATTTTGCATATTATTTTTTTATCAAGAGCAGATCAACAATCCAAGAAAACTTTTGTGTTTTGAGCAGAGAGAAAAGCAGAATTTTAACCTTATACCAGTGTACTTTTAAAATCCATTCGTTGCAACCTTTGTGCATCCTAACCACACATGAAATTCCTTTCCAGAGATTTTCCTTCACGAACCTTCTACAACTTTCCTTTGCCATCAGATTTTGTTCCAAACCATTTCTCTCCAAACAGCCCTTCTCATTTAGGACAAAATTACTTTCTTTTACCTTCCACAAAAATGTATTTCCATTCCTTATATTCTTCTTACACATTTCCTACATTTTTACATACCGAGTTGTTTCCCTTATTTCCATTAGTATAAACTACATTCAGCAGAATTTTAACTCTTAGAAACCTTAGTTTCCAGTGAAAACTTAGTAGTAACCGATTGTGAACTGTTACCAGAATTCTTTGGATGGCAAATTTATGAACCACTTAAGCACAAGCATGTTTGCCGACAGACCCAAATAGCCTTAGTTTCTCTGCAATAAGAAGTCAAAGCGCAAACCTAATTAATGTTTTAGCATTCCATTCTATTTGGAAAAGACCTAGATGTCCAATGAATTCTATCCCGTTCATTATACAATCGAAACTTTAATGTTTCAGGTTACCAAAGACTTTGAAAGCTGTCTTAACAATTACTGCTGAAAACTTCAAGACAGACAAAATTAACCATTATTTTAAGTCATCTTTTTGCTAACAAATTGCAGAGGTAACCTGAGCTTATTTCACCTTCAGCAAACCCAGATAGAATAAAAAAAAAAGTTTTATATTTAATGCTGATAAACAGGTTTATCTCAAACCAGCAAACTTAAATTAGTTTAACTACCAAAAATGTTACCCCTGCATCCACTTAAAAGTCAATCAATTTGTTCCCCGTCTTTAGTTTTTACCTGGAACATCAGCGGGGAATATGAAGTGGGGAGTCCAAGGGGGTGTCCTTTACTCCTTGACTTAGAGGGTGGGAGGAGCAGCCAATGGTGCCTGAGGCACCAATGATGGTATAGGAACCAGTTGTGCAGGCTGCACCCAAGGTGGTGCGGAAATAGGAGGAGGGGGAGGGGAAGACTGAAGAGGTGAGGTTCTACCCAGAGGCCTGAAGGCAGATAAAATTCCAGAGGGCAGAGAGAGAGAGAGAGAGAGAGAGAGGTCTACTTGGTCCTAAAGCCTGTCCACTTGGACAGATGAGCAGGCACCAGGTTTTTTGTTTTGTTTTGTTTTGTTTCCAAAGTGGAAATATGGAGTCCATGTCAGGTAGGAGAAGGCAGACATTTGTTTCTCTGAAACAAATGGAGTTTCGGCAGCTGCTTGGGAATATTCCTTAAAGTCCCCGTCCCTAGGTAGACTAACCACAGTTAGTTCCAATTATAGCCATTAACCCAGGAAATGAATGAAGGAGAGGCCCTCACATCTATTAGCAGAACAGAGAGAGAGTCAAGTGTCCTCTTCATTAGGGATGGCCTGGGTTTCCTCCAGCAACTTAGTTCTATCAGGAGGAGGCCTGTTTAGACATCCAGTATGTCAGGAGGGAGTTTACTAACCAAACACATTTAGGCAAATACATTCTGTAAGAGGACTTTTCGTCTGGGTCCTGATTTAGAGCTGTGTATGCCTGGACCTAGGGTACCTCTATCCATTTGCCAGATTTCCTGCAGAAGAGATCTAACGGCTAGATCCTAGTAAGGCCATGCAGTGTTATGGGAGATCAGTCCTTTCCTAAATTTTGCAATGCAAATTGTCTCCACTGGATTGAAAAGGCATCTCAAGGGAGGATCCCTGAGAACTGAAGAGGAGCTCCCATGTTCCTCCTTCCTAGAGAGAGAAGTAGAGAAGGTCCATTACTACGGAGATCCACCACCTCATCACCACCCCCCCCCCCCC